GGGATTTCAAACTCTTGTCTAAAAAATCTTAGTTTGGACGGGGTGTCTACCCTATGTTTCCACATACCCATGATATTGGCTTAATCAAAGGGGTTGGATTTCAGAAGATGTTTTGAAAGGATTATTGGGACCTCGGCAAACACTTAGGTAAATACAGGTTTCAGTTTTTTCCTAAATTGTGGGTTCTACAGACAAATCCCAAACCTAAGTCTATGGAAACGAAGATTGAAGGCACGAATCTGGAAAAGACACAAAAAACAGAAACAAGAACGAGTTTCAGAATCACGAATAGAGATGGTCTATCAAGAGCATAAAGAATACAAGAAGTATAGGGCCAAGAACAGTGGAAAAAGTACAGGGAAGTGGTGAAACAGTGCGTGTGTTCAAGATATGGGCAAGGGAAAAATCGTGGAAAAAACACATTCAGATGTATGACTCACAAGTTAAAAGTTTGAACAAATGCAGCAATGGCAGCAAGTAAAAGAAAGCATCAAAGAATTAAAGAACAGTAAACTCACCGAAGAAAAGAAGCCGGCGTAAGGATCGCCGAAGTCAGACAAATGTTACAAAAGTAACAGAACGGCGGAAGCTTCACTAGAAGGAGGAATAAAGGCAGATGCAGAGCTTGAGGTCTGGAACAATGGCGTATTCAAGAGCTAGAGAGAAAAAAAGCAAAGGAATCGAATGAAAAGTGAAGAAATGAAAGAAGAGGGAAAAGTTTTTGTCAAAACTTGAAAAGGCGGCGAAATCAAATTAAATGCACCTAGAGCAACGAATGCGTCAGACGGCCCATACAGACAAGACGGTTTATTGGCGCGTCACAAGCACGATCCAATAAGGATAAAACGCGTGAATGAAACGATTGAAAAGTGATGTTTTTGATAGCTCATACGCATAAAGGAGTTCATTGGAACTCTTGTTCTTTAAGAAGACGTCTCGGCCTTAAACAATGATCTCGGCTAAAATAATTTAAGCTAACGTACTAGAATGAGGCACCGATATAGGTTCCATCACCTCAGAATGCTGAGGTAATAGAACCTAGGGGGCAGTTGTGTGGATATATTTTCTGAGTGCCAACACGTGGCTAAGGCGACGCCGACGTGTCAGTCGAGGTGCCATGTGTCCCGGTCGTGACACCGAGGTTATCTCGGCAAGGCCGAGGTTACCTCCGAAGATATCAAAATCCGAGATAAGCGGATAAGGCACAAGAGTCCTAGAAAAGGAGAAGACTACAGTTGGGAAAGGATAAGACTCTTAGGGAGTTTATCCCAATCCTACTGGGAGTCCAAGATAGATAATAATCCTAAGTCCATTAGAGCTAGGCTCCTGTTGGGACAAGGATTGAGTTAGCTATAAAAGAGAGGCACCCAAGTGGGTCTAAGGTATGCAATTTATATTCTGAACAGTAAGTTTGCACTATTAATTATCTTTGACAGATATACTGACATGATCGTCGGAGTGCCCCCGGGTGGACGAACCACCGCCGGAATCTTCTTTCTATTGCAGGTTAGCCAGGTGTCATCTATTCTTCCAGTGTTCTCTAGCTGAATACTGAGTTGGACAGTGTGATCGGAAAATCACTCACACACACACACACACACACACACACACACATATATAACATAGTTCTAATATTTCGTTATTTTAGAATAAAAATGAACGAATTTTTAAAAATTTGTCATATTGGTTTTTGAAATGTAAATAATTTTAAAAAATTTAAAAACTTAATGAATAAAAAGAATCATTGTAACATGTAAAACCGCTAAAATCACAGTTAAATCAGCAAATCATTCAAATAAAAAATAGTTTAGCTTAATTAGTTAGGTCAAAAGACCAACCAACTTACACAAAAATTAATTAATTAAAATATTTAAATTTTATTTTATTAAAATTTAAACTGCCACCAAATATGGAAAGTAATCTATTAATTTAAATTTAAAATGGACACAATATAAATTTAAAATTATATAATCTGTCCCATAATTTATAAGTTTTAAATGCAAATTTAAAATTATCATAATTATCTCACAATTTTTGCATTAAGGAGCAGTAAGAGTGACATTGAGATTATCAATATATCTATATATTTTATAAAAGAATACTTTTAAGGAGAGATATTATGAGAGTTTCAAAATCTCATACGGAATTATTTTTAAAATCAAAACCTCTATGTGGAATTATAAAATAAAAGTTAAATAGAAGCTAGTCAATCGAGATTTTTTTAATTGTTTAAAATTAAGAAAATCAAAAAATATTAGTATAAGATATTGATCATAAGACTTCTCACTAAAAATCTCCTTTTGCTTATATAAATGGGAGCATAAGATTCATTTTATGTAAGTAAAACAATTCACTTTTTTTTTTCTCGATGTGAGATTGTATGTTTATTTTACAATCTTATAATTTAATATATATATATATATATATCATATAAAATTATTATATGATAATTCAACTACAACATATTTATATTTAATTTTTTTTAATAAATTTTATATAATTTCTATTTCTACATTTTTTTATTTTTCAAATGAATAAAAGAGAAAATTAAATAGTTAGAATTACTTTTAATTATATGTTTTTAATTCTTCTTCTAATTTAACTATTATTTTTAATATCTAAATGAATATTTATTTTATTATTTTATAATTTAATATATATCATACAAAATTATTATATAATAATTAAACTTTTATAATACAATAGAACTAAAATTATCACAATACACAAATAATTTAACTAAAATTCATATATATAAGTATTGAAGTAATAATTTTATATAATGATAGCGCTAATATTATTAAAATAAATAATTAAAAGCATAATTTAATTTTAATTTTATGTACTTTGGGTAATTTGTACTTAATATACATTTGAATTCCATTAGCAGAATTTAGTTATTCACTAGTTTTATGACAATATTTAATAGGAATTAAACCTTATTGAATACAATTACGGTTTGCGCATATATCAATTAAGGCTATGACTTCTATTTTATAATCATTGATAATTAATTTAACTTTTGAATGCCATTTTTTGATATTAATTCTATTAATGATATTTTATTCTTTTATAACACACATTGTATCATCAAATATTTTTTGAAAAAAAATGCATTGCACGGGTCAACAGTTAGTTTTCTTCTGTAGTTATAACGTGCATATGGTACAAATCCTTGGAAAATAAATTGACAAATGTCAAATAATAAATAGTGTGCAGTATTATATTAAATAATAACAATTTACGAAAATTATTGTGTATATTTAAGGCACCTATTGATGTTTCTTGATTAATTTTTATATAAAAATTTAGAATTTATAGTATTTCTGATAATGCACAATCATGAGCTCTGCCTAAAAATATATGCAAAAATAATTTGGCTAGAATAAAATATTTACTGTTATTATGTTGTGTCACATGATTAATCACTGATAACCAAGTAATAATTTTTATATTATAGAATTTCCTGTTGTCTTCATTTATTTTTTTCATAAAAAAAAAATTAAGGATTTGATTTCATGTTGAGAATACATATTTTTTTTTATACCTTTGAAAAAAATTGCTTTTATGAGCCTTCTACTTAGGATTACACATACAGTGACAAAAAAATTTATCAATCATTAGCAAATTTATTTGTATTTAGGTTTCAATTGTTAAAATTTTCTACACATGTAGTATTAAGACCCAAAATTAAATTTTCATTTTAAAAATAATTTTTCGTACATTGCATAGGTCACCTACTAATTTTATATAGGGTAGTTATTCATCCCCTAAAAATAGAGCTCTAAAGATAACTCTATACACTTGACAATGAAAAAAACAAAAAAAAGACCAAAACATTACATCCCCACCACCCCTACATTAAAACTCTTACTTAGAACTCTAAAATATTTTTGTTTTATATATAATATAGATGGATAGATAAATACCTGCTGCCCCAATAATGGGGGAACCTCCACCAACTCCAGGGAAATCTCTAGCACCTCCAACATAATTATCCATATCTGATGAAATATCAAATAGTAACATATAGCAACTATACAATTTCTAACATGAAATAATGTATTAAGGATATTTGCTAAACAATATAAATGTTAAACCATACACCTTTTAGATAATAACAGAATATATTAAAATTTTAAAATTTATTTTGTTACAGGGATGTTTAGGGTTTTTTTTTATTTGGATGGGGAAACTATATGTACGGGAAAGAAATAAACCTTCTCGTATAATCCTGTTGATCAAGTCTGCGCTTCTCCGTACGACGTCGCTTTATTCCCTGAAAACACAAACGTGAGCTAGCCAGCGGGTGTATGCCGAATACCTCTCCGATGCCTAAGTCAGCAAAATAGACAAATAGACAAAAGCTCTGTGTATTCGAGAATCAAAGTTGTGTTACCTCTCCATAGGTGATGTTATGAGCTTTTATAGGTTCCGCGTGGCACAATCCTAATAGGATTCTTACTCCTCCATATAGAGTCCTCCTAGGAATCACATTCCTGAAAGATAATGCTTATCCTTCAACACCCCCCTCCCTGCTTAAACCAAGTGAGATGGTTTTACCATGGTCGGGTCCCAATATAACCGAGATAACATGGCCATGCTAAAGCCGCAAAATAGACCGAGCTCCACCTAGCTCGGTTCTTCCTTTCACTGCGTGTACCTTGGTTTCTTCTGTACAAACCATACTAATCCATAGTGTGCTTAGGCCGTGCTAACGAATGGTTAGGTCTGACCGAGCTAACTGCATTATGCCATGACCGGGCTAACTCAGAGTGTGGTGACCGGGCTATCCGCAAATCTCTCCAGGACCGGGATAACAATAAGGCTTTCTAAGACCGGGCTAACTCCAAGGCTCTCTTGGACCGGGCTAACGCCAAGGCCCTTTTACTCTGCCCTTCTTACTGTGGCCCACAACGGCCCACTACCCAGCTCGGCCCAATTTATATATAAATTACCCTCTCACTATACAAATTGGGTAGTCATAAATACTACCCACTATGCTAGGCATCCGACTTAGGTACAACTATACATAAGATATTTATATATTTGATATTCTTAAAATCATCATTTGAAATACAAAACAACCAAGAGCAAAATAATATATATCGTTTATATTATATATGGTAAAGATTAGGGTATACACCATCTTAAAACGTGCATACCATATGCAACTTATAATTACAGTCAAAAAACATAACATAACTTCATACTTTCTAAGTCATAACGGAAAAAAAAATTCATAGCCAAACAATATACGAAGTATAACCAAATATCTCAAAATAATGTCATGACTAAATAAATAAATAAATAATTGTATAATTAAGGGTAAATAGGATATATAAATGTGTATTATAGAATTCTCCACTAAATATAGACATTCTCAACACACTCTCAATCTTACGTGTTTTTAAAATAAATATTGACCTCATTTAAAATTTATTTGTATTTAGTTTTCAATTGCTAAAATTTTCTACACATGAAGTATTAAGACTAAAAATTAAATTTTCATTTTAAAAATAATTTTTCGTACATCGCACAGGTCACCACTAATTTTATATAGGGTAGTTATTCATCCCTCTAAAAATAGAGCTCTAAAGAGAGCTCCATACACTTAGCAATGAAAAAAAAAAAACCAAAACATCACATCCCTACTATCGCTACAACTCCATTAGAATTCTTAATTTAGAACTCTAAAATATTTTGGTTTTATATATAATATAGATAGATAGATAAGTACCTGTTGCCCTAATAATGGGGGAACCTCCACCAACTCCAAGGGAATCTCCTACACCTCCAACATGATTATCCATATCTGATGAAATACCAAATAGTAGCATATAGTGACTATACAATTTCTAACATGAAATAATGTATTCAGGATATTTGCTAAAGAATATAAATGTAAAACCATGCACCTTTTAGATAATAACAGAATATATTAAAATTTTAAAATTTATTTTGTTACAGGGATCTTTAAGGGTTTTTTTATTTTTTATAATTTCTCCTTTGATTTTTATGGATGGGGAAACTATACAAATTGGGTAGATTACTTAGGTACAACTGTACACAAGATATGTATATATTTGATATTCTTAAAATCATTTGAAATACCAAACAACCAAGCAAAATCTCGTTTATATTATATATGGGAAATACAATAAAAACAAATTTCATAACCAAACATTATATGAAGTATAACCAAATATTTCAAAATAATGTCATGACTAAATAAATAAAAAAATTGTATAATTAAGGGAGGATATGATATATAGATGTGTATTATAGAATTCTCCATTATATATAGACATTCTCAACACACTCTCAATCTTACGTGTTTTGAAATTTAATATTGACCTCATTTAAAATTTATTTGTATTTAGTATTCAATTGCTAAAATTTTCTACAAATGAAGTATTAAGACTCAAAATTAAATTTTCAATTTAAAAATAATTTCTCGTACATCGCACATGTCACCACTAATTTTATATAGGGTAGTTATTCATCCCTCGAAAAATAGAGCTCTAAAGAGAGCTTAATACACTTAGCAATGAAAAAAAAAAAAACAAAACCGAAACATCACATCCCTACTACGCCTACAACTCCATTAGAATTCTTAATTTATAACTCTAAAATATTTTTGTTTTATATAAAATATAGATAGATAGATAAATACCTGTTGCCCCAATAATGGGGGAACCTCCACCAAATCCAGGGGAATCTCCTGCACCTCCAACATGATTATCCATATCTGATGAAATATCAAATAGTAGCATATAGTAACTATACAACTTCTAACATGAAATAATGTATTAAGGATATTTGCTAAACAATATAAATGTTAAACCATGCACCTTTTAGATAATAACAGAATATGATAAAATTTTAAATTTTATTTTGTTACAGGGATCTATAAGGGTTATTTTTTATTTTTTATAATTTCTCCGTTGTTTTTTATGGATGGGGAAACTATACAAATTGGGTAGACTACTTACGTACAACGATACATATGATATGTATATATTTGATATTCTTAAAATCATTTGAAATACCAAACAACCAAGCAAAATAATATATCTCGTTTATATTATATATGGGAAAGACTATAAAAAAAAATTTCATAACCAAACATTATATGAAGTATAACCAAATATTTCAAAATAATGTCATGACTAAATAAATAAATAAAAAATTGTATAATTAAGGGTGCATATGATATATAGATGTGTATTATAGAATTATCCACTATATATAGACATTCTCAATACAATCTCAATCTTACGTGTTTTTAAAATTAATATTGACCTCATTTAAAATTTATTTGTATTTAGTTTTCAATTGCTAAAATTTTCTACACATGAAGTATTAAGAGTCAAAATTAAATGTTCAATTTAAAAATAATTTTTCGTACATCACACAAGTCACCACTAATGTTATATAGGGTAGTTATTCATCCCACTAAAAATAGAGCTCTAAAGAGAACTCTATACACTTAGCAATGAAGAAAAAAAAAACAAAACCAAAACATCACATCCCTACAATCCCTACAACTCCATTAGAATTCTTAACTTATAACTCTGAAAAATTTTTGTTTCATATATACTATAGATAGATAGATAAATACCTGTTGCCCCAATAACGGGGCAACCTCCACCAATTCCAGGGGAATCTCCTGCACCTCCAACATGATTATCCATATCTGATGAAATATCAAATATTAGCATATAGTAACTATACAACTTCTAATATGAAATAATGTATTAAGGATATTTGCTAAACAATATAAACGTTAAGCCATGCACCTTTTAGATAATTACAGAATATATTAAAATTTGAAATTTAATTTTGTTATAGGGATCTATAAGGGTTTTTTTTTTTTTTAATTTTTCCTTTGTTTTTTATGAATGGGGAAACTATACAAATTGGGTAGACTACTTAGGTATAACTATACATAAGATATGTATATATTTGATATTCTTAAAATCATTTGAAATACCAAACAACCAAGCAAAATAATATATCTCGTTTGTATTATATATGGGAAAGACTATAAAAAAAAATTTCATAACCAATAACATTATATGAAGTATAACCAAATATTTCAAAATAATGTCATGACTAAATAAATAAATAAATTGTATAATTAAAGGTGCATATGATATATAGATGTGTATTATAGAATTATCCATTATATATAGACATTCTCAATACAGTCTCAATCTTACGTGTTTTTAAAATTAATATTGACCTCATTTAAAATTTATTTGTATTTAGTTTTCAATTGCTAAAATTTTCTACACATGAAGTATTAAGACTCAAAATTAAACATTCAATTTAAAAATAATTTTTCGTACATCGCACAGGTCACCCCGAATGTTATATAGGGTAGTTATCCATTCCACTAGAAATAGAGCTCTAAAGAGAACTCTATAAACTTAGCAATGAAAAAAAAAAAACAAAACCAAAACATCACATCCCTACAATCCCTACAACTCCATTAGAATTCTTAATTTATAACTATGAAATATTTTTGTTTTATATATAATATAGATAGATAGATAAATACCTGTTGCCCCAATAATGGGGGAACCTCCAACAATTCCAGGGGAATCTCCTGCACCTCCAACATGATTATCCATATCTGATGAAATATCAAATAGTAGCATATAGTGACAATACAACTTCTAATATGAAATATTGTATTAAAGATATTTGCTAAACAATATAAACGTTAAACCATGCACCTTTTAGACATTAACAGAATATATTAAAATTTTAAAATTTATTTCGTTACGGGGATCAATAAGGGTTTTTTTTTATTATTATTTCTCCTTTGTTTTTTATGGATAGGGAAACTATACAAATTGGGTAGACTACTTCGGTATAACTATACATAAGATATGTATAGATTTGATATCCTTAAAATCATTTGAAATACCAAACAACCAAGCAAAATAATATATCTTGTTTATATTATATATGGGAAAGACTATAAAAAAAAATTTCATAACCAAACATTATATGAAGTAGAACCAAATATTTCAAAATAATGTCATAATAAATAAAAAAAATTGTATAATTAAGGGTGCATATGATATATAGATGTGTATTATAGAATTATCCACTATATATAGACATTCTCAATACAATCTCAATCTTACGTGTTTTTAAAATTAATATTGACCTCATTTAAAATTTATTTTTATTTAGTTTTCAGTTGCTAAAATTTTCTACACATGAAGTATTTAGACTCAAAATTAAACTTTCAATTTAAAATTAATTTTTCGTACATCGCACAGGTCACCCCTAATGTTATATAGGGTAGTTATCCATTCCACTAAAATAGAGCTCTAAAGAGAACTCTATAAACTTAGCAATGAAAAAACAAAAAAAAACAAAACCAAAACATCACATCCCTACAATCCCTACCACTCCATTAGAATTCTTAACTTATAACTATGAAATATTTTTGTTTTATATATAATATGGATAGATAGATAAATACCCGTTGCCCCAATAATGAGGGAACCTCCACCAATGCCAGGGGAATCTCCTGCACCTCCAACATGATTATCCATATCTGATGAAATATCAAATAGTAGCATATAGTAACTATACAACTTCTAATATGAAATAATGTATTAAGGATATTTGCTAAACAATATAAACGTTAAACCATGCACCTTTTAGACATTAACAGAATATATTAAAATTTTAAAATTTATTTTGTTACAAGGATATATAAGGGTTTTTTTTTTATTTGTAATTTCTCCTTTGTTTTTTATGGATGGGGAAACTATACAAATTGGGTAGACTACTTAGGTATAACTATATATAAGATATTTATATATTTGATACTCTTAAAATCATTTGAAATACCAAACAACCAAGCAAAATAATATATCTCATTTATATTATATATGGGAAAGACTATAAAAAAATTTTCATAACCAAACATTATATGAAGTATAACCAAATATTTTAAAATAATGTCATGACTAAATAAATAAATAAATTGTATAATTAAGGGTGCATATGATATATAGATGTGTATTAGAGAATTCTCCATTATATATAGACATTCTCAATACAGTCTCAATCTTACCTGTTTTTAAAATTCATATTGTCCTCATTTAAAATTTATTTGTATTTAGTTTTCAATTGCTAAAATTTTCTACACATGAAGTATTAAGACTCAAAATTGAACTTTCAATTTAAAAATAATTTTTCATACATCGCACAGGTCACCCCTAATGTTATATAGGGTAGTTATCCGTTCCACTAAAAATAGAGCTCTAAAGAGAACTCTATAAACTTAGCAATGAAAAAAAAAAAAACAAAACCAAAACATCACATCCCTACAATCCCTACAACTCCATTAGAATTCTTAACTTATAACTATGAAATATTTTTGTTTTATATATAATATAGATAGATAGATAAATACCTGTTGCCCCAATAATGGGGGAACCTCCACCAATTCCAGGGGAATCTCCTGCACCTCCAACATGATTATCCATATCAGATGAAATATCAAATAGTACCATATAGTAACTATACAACTTCTAATATGAAATAATGTATTAAGGATATTTGCTAAACAATATAAACGTTAAACCATGCACCTTTTAGATAATAACAGAATATATTAAAATTTTAAAATTTATTTTGTTAAAGGGATCTATAAGGGTTTTTTTTTTTTTATAATTTCTCCTTCGTTTTTTATGGATGGGGAAACTATACAAATTGGGTAGACTACTTAGGTACAACTATACATAAGATATGTATATATTTGATACTCTTAAAATCATTTAAAATACCAAACAACCAAGCAAAATAATATATCTCGTTTATATTATATATGGGAAAGACTATAAAAAAAAATTTCATAACCAAACATTATATGAAGTATAACCAAATATTTTAAAATATTGTCATGACTAAATAAATAAATAAATTGTATAATTAAGGGTGCATATGATATATAGATGTGTACTAGAGAATTCTCGATTATATATAGACATTCTCAATACAGTCTCAATCTTACGTGTTTTTAAAATTAATATTGACCTCATTTAATATTTATTTGTATTTAATTTTCAATTGCTAAAATTTTCTACACATGAAGTATTAAGACTCAAAATTAAACTTTCAATTTAAAAATAATTTTTCGTACATCGCACAGGTCACCCCGAATGTTATATAGGGTAGTTATCCATTCCACTAAAAATAGAGCTCTAAAGAGAACTCTATAAACTTAGCAATGAAAAAAAAAAATCAAAACCAAAATATCACATCCCTACAATCCCTACAACTCCATTAGAATTCTTAACTTATAACTATGAAATATTTTTGTTTTATATATAATATAGATAGATAGATAAATACCTGTTACCCCAATAATGGGGGAACATCCACCAATTCCAGGGGAATCTCTGGCACCTCCAACATGATTATCCATATCTGATGAAATATCAAATAGTAGCATATAGTAACAATACAACTTCTAATATGAAATACTGTATTAAAGATATTTGCTAAACAATATAAACGTTAAACCATGCACCTTTAAGATAGTAACAGAATATATTAAAATTTTAAAATTTATTTCGTTACAGGGATCTATAGGGTTTTTTTTTTATTATTATTTCTCCTTTGTTTTTTATGGATGGGGAAACTATACAAATTGGGTAGACTACTTCGGTAGAACTATACATAAGATATGTATAGATTTGATATTCTTAAAATCATTTGAAATACCAAACAACCAAGCAAAATAATATATCTCGTTTATATTATATATGGGAAAGACTATAAAAAAAAATTTCATAACCGAACATTATATGAAGTATAACCAAATATTTCAAAATAATGTCATGGCTAAATAAATAAAAAAAAATTGTATAATTAAGGGTGCATATGATATATAGATGTGTATTATAGAATTATCCACTATATATAGACATTCTCATGTGTATTATAGAATTATCTTACGTGTTTTTAAAATTAATATTGACCTCATTTAAAATTTATTTGTATTTAGTTTTCAGTTGCTAAAATTTTCTACACATGAAGTATTAAGACTCAAAATTAAACTTTCAATTTAAAAATAATTTTTCGTACATCGCACAGATCACCCCTAATGTTATATAGGGTAGTTATCCATTCCACTAAAAATAGAGCTCTAAAGAGAACTCTATAAACTTAGCAATGAAAAAAAAAAAACAAAACCAAAATATCACATCCCTACAATCCCTACAACTCCATTAGAATTCTTAACTTATAACTATGAAATATTTTTGTTTTATATATAATATAGATAGATAGATAAATACCTGTTGCCCCAATAATGGGGAAACCTCCACCAATTCCAGGGGAATCTCCTGCACCTCCAACATGATTATCCATATCTGATGAAATATCAAATAGTAGCATATAGTAACTATACAACTTCTAATATGAAATAATGTATTAAGGATATTTGCTAAACAATATAAACGTTAAACCATGCACCTTTTAGATAATAACAGAATATATTAAAATTTTAAAATTTATTTTGTTACAGGGATCTATAAGGGTTTTTTTTTTTTATAATTTCTCCTTCGTTTTTTATGGATGGGGAAACTATACAAATTGCGTAGACTACTTAGGTATTACTATACATAAGATATGTATATATTTGATACTCTTAAAATCATTTGAAATACCAAACAACCAAGCAAAATAATATATCTCGTTTATATTATATATGGGAAAGACTATAAAAAAAAATTTCATAACCAATCATTATATGAAGTATAACCAAATATTTTAAAATAATGTGATGACTAAATAAATAAATAAATTGTATAATTAAGGGTGCATATGATATATAGATGTGTATTAGAGAATTCTCCACTATATATAGACGTTCTCAATACAGTCTCAATCTTACGTGTTTTTAAAATTAATATTGACCTCATTTAAAATTTATTTGTATTTAGTTTTCAATTGCTAAAATTTTCTACACATGAAGTATTAAGACTCAAAAGTAAACTATCAATTTAAAAATAATTTTTCGTACATCGCACAGGTCACCCCGAATGTTATATAGGGTAGTTATCCATTCCACTAAAAATAGAGCTCTAAAGAGAACTCTATAAACTTAGCAATGAAAAAAAAAAAAGAAAACCAAAACATCACATCCCTACAATCCCTACAACTCCATTAGAATTCTTAACTTATAACTATGAAATATTTTTGTTTTATATATAATATAGATAGATAGATAAATACCTGTTGCCCCAATAATGGGGGAACCTCCACCAATTCCAGGGGAATCTCCTGCACCTCCAACATGATTATCCATATCTGATGAAATATCAAATAGTAGCATATAGTAACAATACAACTTCTAATATGAAATACTGTATTAAAGATATTTGCTAAACAGTATAAACGTTAAACCATGCACCTTTTAGATAATAACAGAATATATTAAAATTTTAAAATTTATTTCCTTACAGGGATCTATAAGGGTTTTTATTTTTATTATTATTTCTCCTTTGTTTTTTGTAACGCCCTCAAAATTGTAACATTAAACCCAACAATTAAGACATGCGTTGATATATAAACTAACCACATTCTCTTATTCATTAGAGTTCCATTACATTAGTATTACATGTTAACATCAAAACAAAATGCCCTACGGGCTTACAGCTTTCCAAGTTAACACTTGGTTACAACAAAGAGTACTACTCATTTACACTTTAAGCCCTTGGCTTGTAATTACATGTAATACATCAAAAGGTGAAACGACAACATTATGTCCGCCTCAAGCCTCCCAAGCTATGTCCTTGGAGGTGGCATGCTTCCTGCACCTGAAAATGATATTCCCATATAGGGTGAGCCACAGCCCAGTAGAAATACACTAAACCAACCATGGACAATGACTAAAACATTAGCAATTGATAGTTGGTCAACACTGATACAATCACATAAATAACATATTTATGTCAACGACTTACAAGTCCCAATTACTTTTCATTTTCCCCTTTTCAACAGATAAGCATGCTAGCTCTATCACCATTTCCACAGATATGTATAAAAACAATATCTCACATTCAGATAAGCATAAAAGCTACATCCACATTCTCAACAGATATGTATAACAACAATATCCACAGATAAGCATACAAGCTGTATCCACACTCTACAACAGATATGTATAACCACAATATCCACAGATAAGCATATAAGCTATATCCACACTCCACAAAGACAAGCATA